TAGTATGTCCCTTCCAAAATGTCGAACCTGAGGAAAGCCTTCCCTTAATATTTCAAGGGGTCAGTAGGAGGCAGTTCACATCATCTTTCATTCTCCCACCAGCTCCGTATGTCTACTGTCACCACAGTCTCCTTTATGCGCTGTCACCGACAGGCCCGGGCACCTCATGGTTGGAGAGACATTGAGTGGAGGAGGTCCCTCTCTCGCAGTCGGGGCCACCCTCTGCTTTCTAGTCACCTAAGCAGCTTTCAGCTTCTGTCCACAATTTCCTTCTCCACAGAGCTCATACTTAGTGGCAGGGACCAGCATTGGAACCCATGGCCATTTCCTTACATTCTATTTGTAGTCAAATGATATTATATTGTATGTATTCTTCTGCAACTTGATTTTTTATGTATACATTTATACAGAGACAGAGAAGGAGAGAGAGAACGCGCTAGTCCTTTAAAGCTCTCTGCATTCCACTGCATGAGTACGTTTCTCACTGTTCCAGGCAGGTGCCCAGCTGCTCTGTGTGAGAGTACCAGTTTTCCACAGTCTTGCCAACCCCAGATATTAACAGTTTGGCTTCTACCAATTTGATGGGTGAAAAATGGAATCTCATCAATTTCTCCCTGATAAGGAGTGAGGCTGAGCATTACACTGGACATATCTTATCTGCCTCCTTATATCTCTTGGCCTCCCTCACTTGCTTCCCAGGTCGCAACCAAGAAAACTCACACGTGTCTGTGATCCTGCCTCCCAGAACCCTGCCTCCCAGAGCCAAGCAGTTACTTGCTCAGGAACACAGAGCTCCACGCTGGCTGCCGGTACAGGCCTGCCTACCAGCTCAGTGACTCCTCCTGCCACTTACTGGATGGTGAATGGCCACACCACAGGCACAGGATCTTACTTCTGAGTGGCTATTGAAAGAGCTGAATCTCACAGCATGGAGGAGTTAAACACCACCAGACTTTCCGCAGCCGAGAACCAGATGATAGGGGTCCAGGAAAATACATTTCATCGCCTCCCTCACTTCCACAGCCCATTACAAAGTATAGTATCTACGCACGAGCTGTTCTGAAGATAAGCCATGCAGCCTAGCACACAGACACGCCATTCGACTCTCTTCTTGGCTTTTGGCATTACTCCCCCTCCCTCCCTGCCTCACCTCCATTCTTCCCCACAAGCCTGTAGTAGCCTGTACTTTTCTGGGAGGTAACAGGATTCATTAACATTTGCTAAAGACTGTAATGCATAGATTGGATCTGTTTCAGAAAGATGACTCTGAAGACATAATGGTAACTGTAGAGAGACTAAGACAAAAGGATGTGGTTTTAGAAGTTCATTCCATTAGAGTTAGGGCAGTGGAAGGGCAAATAAAAAAAAGACATATTCAAGGGAGTCTGGGGAATGTAGGTGTTGATTAGATCATTCATGGAAAAAATGGAGGGGGAGAAAGGATAAAGCACGGAGTTACGATAGTTACTAAAGATTGGAGAAAGAAGAGGCATTGAGAAAGCCAAGAAAGGCAGGTCAGGAGGTGTGAGAACTGGAAGAAGGCAGGACTAAGGGCTCCACATTGCAGAAGGTCAAATAGCCTAAGGATGAGGGAGGAACTATAGTTCCAACAATCAGGTATTACCCTAATAATAGTATTAAAGGAGGGATGTCATCCAGAAGAGAGAGTCGATTTCAACACAGATAGGCTGGTAAAAGATAAGGATTAAACAATGGTCTGAAAAAGTGGGAATCCAGGGGGAATTCAGGGCACAGGGGAACAGAGGGTCTTGGAGCCCCAGTGAGACAGGCCGGGGCTGCAGTTTTAATGCAGGGCCCAGGGATTGCGCCAATATTTGTCAAACAAGAAACTACAAGTATTTTAGGGAAAAGCTGGAAAGGAAATATTTGTTGATAACTGAAAAGAGGTTCCAGAGAATTTGGGGAATGGGATAAAAGAGGACCAGTGGGGGGAAGTTCTTATTTTCAAGTAAAAGTGCCACATTTAATGATTCAGTTTTGTGTAAATTTAGCTTCCATTTTCTAGCTAGCCCTGGGGAGTTTATACTCATCAACATGTTTGGATTTATGGTTTTGTTACCACTGGTATAGAGCTAGAAAAGGGGAGCAAAAGGAACTAGACATTGAACATAATAACCTGAGGAGCATAAGCTTGCTTGCTTAGCCAGGAAGCTACAGCCTTCCATACTCCAAGGGACCACAGCATTGCTCCACCAAGGGGGTTTACACTCCTTCCTTTCCTGCTCCGGTACAGGGTTCTTAGGGATGCAGGGGGAGATGCTGGACCACAGAGGCCTGTCAGTCTAACCAGACCTCTTTGAATGTGTAGACCCATTCAAAGTCCATCGAAAGCCTGGGAAACTGAGTGGTCATTTTGAAAGTGTACCTCGTCCGCCCCAGGCCCAAGCTAATATAATCCTAAGGGAACAAAAAAGTCACCCCTTCACTCGAGAACCCGCATTCATCCCATGCATTCATGTGCTCTCTCTCTCTCCACAGTCATGTGGTTTTAGGAGCCACACGGCCCGCAGCCACACGGCCCGCAGCCACATAGACTCCACCACTGGAGCAGCTGGGAACAAGCTAAGTCCTCTGGATGGGGACTGAGACCCCTTAGCAGCCAACTGCAGTCTCCAAAGGACTAAGCTTTAATATAAAGCAAAAACTCTGGACAATGGCTTTTGTCTTGGCCTTGCTGAGGACACAGTTGGACTTTTTCCATGGTGGGATAGAGGGAGAAGGGACATTGTCCCCTGGGGGCAGTTTCTACTTCCACATGAATAAACCAGGCCACAACACCATCTCCTGCGCCTGAGTTCTTGGAATGCTTTCCTCTCAGTGAAAGGGCCTAAATCACATCTACACCAGTTTCCTGGGAAGCCATTCTGTCCCCAATTACTACATAGCACCCATGCCTGAAATACCACCAAATAGAAATCTAATGCTTTGAAATTCACCTGTTTACAAATGCTTCCAGGTCAGCAGCCTCCACTGTGGTTGTGAAGATGAGAGGAGAGAAATGCACTGTGGGAATTAGGTGCTGGGCATGTCAGGGGCTCCAGAAGATAGCAGAGGGGTTCTGAGAAGTTTACATTTACCACCTTTATCATTCTTATTTAGGATAATGCCTCTTTCTAAAACCCAATAAACGAACCTCTCCTTTAACTTCATGTAAGTTATTACATTTCCTGCAAACACACACACACACACACACACACACACACACACACACACACTACTTCTCTTTTAAGTAAACTTGAGAGAATGCAAAAAAGAACCTTCATAACAGTCTATGTGAATTACTGCAAATCCAAAGGAGAAACTAATCCCAAACAATTATATGACGCAGTTATATGCGTCAACTGTTTAATACGTGACTTGCGCTCCATCATCAAAATGTCTGGCTGAGCTGGTTTTTAATCAGGAGTCAGAAGTATATCCCGCAGCCAGAATCTTCCGTTACTGACATCCTCCTTCAAAAAAAAAATTACGAAGTGACTTGCAAGTCATATCTTAATTAACATGTTCTTTTTAAAAAGAATATGACAAATAAAAGTTAATAGGGTGAAGAGTTCAAAAGGACACCTCACACAGGCTAGAAACTGGCTTCTGGATTCACTGAAAAAAATCAAGATGGGAGAGTAGCAAAACGAGATTACGGAGCCTTCCATGGGAGGCTACAGAGCAGCACTGGTTTTTTTAAGAGCAGACCAGAATCTGTTCACTGGCAGGTTCAGAGGCCCAGTCAGGGCATCGTCTGCCGTGGGGAGTTACCGAATGATCCCCAGCCTTTTAGGGGCTTCCTCTGCAGTCCCTTCAATTTCTTCAGTGGTGACACAGAGACTGGGACTGGTTTGGGGATGAAGGCAATTCAGAGTGTGGCTTGGTGAATAAGAGAGATGAGATATAGGATAGAGAATCACTACAATCGCCACTATAAGGATTGTCTAAATTCTTATATATTTTAAATCCTATTACCTTACAGCCACATTGCACATTCCGTGTGATTATAGAGAGCATTTTATATACACAGAATTCAAAAGTCTTTTGCTGACAGGTGGCTGATGAGTTACTGAATCTTTAATTCATAAATTAAACTTGTTATACTCATTTGGTTTATTGTGTGTAATACACACAAACCCTGACTGATTCACACAAACTATTTTTTACTCATAAAAACATGCCAAAACCTTTTCTGAGAGTTGCTTTTGTCTCTTTTTAGGGAGCTCACTCTTCAGTGTGTATAAACAAGCAAATGCTTTGATATTCAAATTAATGAAAGCACTCAAAGGGGGAAATGAATCCATCTGAAAATTATATGCCTCCATTTGATGCATGTTAATGAAAAGCTCGCACACCAAAAAGTTATTTGAAGAAGGGATCTACCTTACATGCGATGAAAAACTCCCTTGCGGGTAAAACAGATAGAAAGGTTATTTTACAGCTAATCACAAAAATCTGACTCTTCCTTCAACCTCTTCCACAGTAGTAAGGGGCTGAAAGTGTGGACTTTTGAGGTTGGGGAGATACGGATTTAAAGATTATAAGAAATTAATTTAAAGAAGAAATCAGCTATTTGACTTTATATGACCCTGACCAAGTTAATTCACTTTTTTGAGCCTTAATTCATTTATCAAAAATATGAAAATAATAACAATACTTGTTTCACAAAGTAATCTTAAGAATTAAATAGAAGAGTGCATATAACTTTCTCAGCATAGTATCTGAGATTTAATTAGTTGTTGTGATTTTATATAATTATTCATTTAAGCAACTCTATTTTTTTCTGGGCATCAGTTTCTCTCCAACAAAATGGGGTGGTTACCTAATTGATCGACACAGAATAAATGAGACGACATAGAAAGTTTAAATGCTATGCAGTACTGGGTATTGATAAGAAGCACAAAATGTTATTTTGCCTGTATGACAAGCATAAAAGGCCTGATTCCCCTGCCATGTCAGACTGAATACACGGGGTTTGGTAATTTGGTTTTTTTTGTGTGTGTTTGTCACACACATGCCCACTTTCTGGTTTGCTAAGAAAGAGGTGTTGAACTGTGCCACGATTTCTTTCCCACAGAGGAATGTCACCACCGCCACCGTTAGAACAGCTGCAGACCAGTAGTGGGTTTGGGAAGTTCAGTCCGAGGTGGTTGAGTTTCTCCCAGCGTCACCAACAGATGGAATCATAGAAGGCCTAACAAAACAAATTCCACTGGTTCCTGACCCAAGGACTCAGGGAGGGCTGCAAGCACGCCCATAGCCCACAGCCTTAGAGTCATGGTCAAGTATGTCTGGTGGCCCGTACAAGGTATCTCCTGTGTACTCACATTTCTCTTAGCTCCCATCATCATGGCCCTGGTTAGGTTCTCCCCTCCGTCTTCAGCTCTCCTGTATCGATCAGGCTGATGGGGGTGGAGGAAGCCAACACAAATCACAGGACTAGTGGTCCACAAGGGAGTCCAGGCTCCGACGACCCTGCAGGTCAACCCGAACCCACCTTTGCTGAGGGAAACCCCAAAGAAGTTCCACTAATGCCTGAACCAGTTCTTGGCAGCCCTGTGCACCATGAAGGAATCCTGAAATCAAGCTCTTCCCTGGGCTCTAACTGAGAAAAGAGAGCTGAGTCCCCTCTGCTCGTATACCCTCAAACCTCTCTTTTCTTTGTCACCCCCCACCCAGTCCCTGCTTGGGGGGGTGAGGTGTAGAGCCCTTCCTCAGGTCCAGTCCTCAGCTAGGCTCCCCTGGCAACCCTCCAACTCTCTCCCTCACAAGCCATGTGTGGACTATAATACAAAAATGGTGCTGAAAAAGTAAGTATTATCCTCTGCCTTCTCTCCCTCCAAGGCCTGGGGACTCTGGCTAGTCTGCAGAGAGGCTTATAACCTTGGAGAGGTGAGGTGGCTCAGGTTTTTACTATCAGAGGTGGGGTCATCACTGTTCTGCAGAGCATTTTCAGTGTATCTGGAATCTTCCTTCTTTTACATATTCTGGCTGAGAGGAAATTCTGCTTTTCCTTTCTCTTTGCTTCCTCAGTTTAATGGACAAGGGTATGTATAGCCCAAAGGAGAAGAAAGGGGGAACTTGAGATCTGTGACCTTCAGATTGCTTTCTGAATACCCTGAGAAGTCACCAGGGAAGAAAAGAAAAAAGAAATTAAAGTGGACATTTCTCTTTAGGAAAATTTGAGCATGAGAGACTGTGTACAGAAAGTACTGTGAACCAATAGCATTTACCAGAAGCTGTTTCTTCTTAACTGACAACCTAATAATCCTAGGGATCACTGAGCCCAGAAGGTACTAGAGGCCACCACCCAGTGGCAGTGACATCTGCAGCTGGGACTGAGTCGTATACCCAAGACTTGAATGGCTACTCAGAGACAAGATTAAGAAATCTTAAATGACTCTGAGGCATCTGTTAAAATAAAATTTACCAGCCTTAGAAACCTTCAGAATCAAAAGGACATTAGAAATGTATAAAGATCTTTCATAGAGTACAAAAGGTCAATTTCTTTTATTTATTATATTTTGTATCATGAGTTACATTCAGGTAGTCCTCAGGGCCAAGGACTGAAATTCTGACTTGATGTTAAATTCGTCCTAGTCGGGAAGTCCAGGTAGATATGGGTAGGTGTAAGATCTTGGCCCCACTCAGCAAGGAGGGGACCTGATTTCCCAGATCTGTTGGCCATCCGCTGAGTTGTCTCCATAAGATGACCTCAGAATCTGCAGATAACTTGGGATTGGCTGCCACTTGAAGGTGCCCTTGTTTTAGAATAGATGAAGTGGGTGCAGCCTGTTTCAGATCTGATAGAGACACATGAACAGAAAAAGAATTAGGGGACAGAAATAGCCCAAGATAGTGTTATTGAAACACCAGGATGAAGGAGAGAGATCTAAAACCAGTCTCTATAGAGTTATCTGTGGTTCTGAGGAGTGAGTAGCACTGTCAGAGGACTAGACAAGCCCATGGGTCAAGTGCCCAGGACATACTTTGGGGAAAGAATTGGGGATTTTTGCTTCTAAAAAATAATCCACAGGAAGAGCTGAAAGCCACTTCACCTAGCCAAAATTCTCAAAATGAGACCAATGAATGAAAGCTACAGGAAGACAGATTTGAAAGGCATTTCAGGAAAAAAAAAACATTTTAACAACTGCAAGGCAGAACAGGTTACCTTCGGAGCCTATATAATAAAATGATTAAGAACATAGGTTTGAGAGTCAGAAGACCATGAATGGGAATCCTGATGTTTAACTCCCACTGGTTCTGTTATTTAACTTCTCTCGATGTCTCTTTTCTCACCTGAAGATTATGAATAATAATAGTGCACACGTCCCTGGAATATTGAAGGATTAATGAGATAAAGTATATAAAGCACTTATACAGAATCCGGCACTTGAGAACACTTAGTAAACAGAAACTGTTATTGTTACTGCCTTTGTGTTAGTAACCCACAGAGTAGAAGCTGCCAACTACAAATAGAGGAAGTGGTGAGCTTCTGAGAATTTACATCATGTAAACAATGTTCCTGAGCAAATGCATTCTAAACAAACAATGACTTTAAACTGACAGCCCCAAAGAAATGAAATTAATTGTGTCCATTGGCAAGAGAAGACTCAAAATGTGTGGGTCTGTTCACTGCACCTCTCCATCCTTCCTACATGACATGGCACCACACAGCCCTGCAAAATAAACCAGACAGATCAATGAAGTTTAAACAAGAATTCCCACATGAGGTAATGCAAGAGAAAAAAACCCATCAAATTGGATTATGACATAAAGGGCCTCGGTGTGCACGTTGAAAATATCTGTAAGTGATTTTCTATGACCTGAAGCAGACTACCAAGGGCTAGTGATTACATAAAGAATGGGGCCGGAAGATAGCAACAATGTTTAAGGTTATTCAAGACAATGAGTAAGCATAAAGCTGCCATTTAAAATGAGAATGTCTAATCCAATTTCATATGGAATTAATCAACTGATCCTTTGAGTTACTTGAAACACTTGAGCAAACTGCTTTTAGAAAGACAAATACAACTGTCTCAGCTAGAGAATTAAAGGTAAGCCCTGTCTTGAATTAAAGAAGAACTCATAACATGTTTCAATCTATTATTTGGTTTTAGAGATTGTCTTTATTAGATGGGTATCAAGAGGATGCTTCTGGGATTCGCACAGGAAAAGTCTAGAACATTTCAGATCTTTTTCATTGTCAGCATAAAAGCTCAAAAACAAACTAATGTTGCATATGATGCTGTACAGAAGGCAGGTCCTTCAAGGTCTTATTCAAGTATGGAAAAAACCCCACAGCAATGATACCCTCTTTATCCAGTCATTGGTTTCAGCTAAAAGGGGCCCCCTGTCTTTGACACTGAACTGATGAGCTCAAGTTAAGCAATCCACATGGAGCCCTTTGTTTTTGAAATGACTGTGCTGCCACCAAGGAGCAAAGCAAAAAGCAGCTCTGCTCCACCCTGGCCACAGACCACCCCGGCGCTCATGCTCACAGCAGGGCCCGTCACTCTCCTTATTGGGTTCCTGCTGGTTCAGCTCCTAATGGCCTTCCCCAATTCCCCCTCTGTCTGCTTCACTTTGGGCTGACACAGCAAACGCACACGCAAGAGGTCTGCAGCTAGCAGGAGGCAGGGACTTGGAACAAAGAAATCTCCTTTTATACTTGTTTGTTTGTTTGTTTGTTTGTTTGTTTGCAATTCTCTCCTTCCATTGACGGTCAAGGATTTCAGGGGCTGGCACCAAGGAAAGGCAATGGAAGAAATCAATTTTTAATAACCCCAGAGATCACAGGGCACCGGATAATAAGCATTAAGTCTTTGTGAAGAACAAATCTTGTGTAAAAGAGAGTGGCTGGGTTTTCGTAAAGCACAGCTGAAGGCAGGTGCAAAGACTTAATAGAGATTATACCTTAACTTCAGTACAGCAAAACCACTTTGGATTCTGTTCCAATGAACTGTCATCAACATGCTTCAGAAATGTGGCTGGGACCATTTTCTGACATAAGTCAAAGGCTGTGTCCAAAAAAATGAATGCATGAGAGGAGCTCCAGAAATTATTTTGTGAATTTGAAGACTTTGTGAAAGTCAGGTTATAGAATGCAGGCAATTATTAAGTGGATTGATTTTCATTGGGAAACTGTGATTCAACATGGAAAAGAACATTCAAACTAATCACTTTTTGACAGTAAAATATACTGTAAATAGGGTGTGATAATTCCCTTTCTAGAGATTCTTTCAATAGCAGAAGCTAGCATATGCTTTTCATTTCTCACAGAATCAAATTCTGTCTTCTCAGTCTGATACACAAGGCAATTTACAAGGGGACCCCTGCCCCTCCACCAAAGAATGGAGTTACCTTGTGAAGAGTAGGCCCTTGTAGTACAGGCTTCTCCCACTAGGTGAGTATTCAAGGAACTCATCTGTATCAGTGTACCAGCTGGCATTGTTGTGAGATGCTATGTTTGGCTTCCATGAATTTTTTAAAAAGATCCTTTCAATGCATTTGCCCATTTCATGATGGGTCATTCATGGGCACAACTGCTCACACCGCACTGAGTGTTCAGCAGTTTTGGACCAGAAACGGCAGGACCTTCATGACTCACCCTCCCTATTCACCTGATCTCACCCCGAGTGACTTTTTTCTTTCCCCGGATAAAAAAAGTCCTCAAAGGGGAATGTTTTGCCAAAGTGGAAGAGGTGAAACAAAAAATAGCAGAAGCACTAAAAGGCATTAAAATTGTCGAGTTCAAAAACTGTTCTGAGCAGTGGAAAAAAGTCTTGGTAGGTGTATTTCATCAAATGGAGAGTACTTTGAAAGTGACTGAAGTTTAAATGTATAAGAATAAATACACAGGTTTTTTATAAATAAATTCCATTTTTGGGGGGTCTCCCCTTGTATTATCATTTCTCCTGGGGCAGGAACATAAATGCCCTGCTAAGGAATTTGAACTTAATTCCCAGAAGGACATGGAGAACCACAAAGTACATAAAAATGCAAGGGGTTTTTGTCATGGAATTGACCCGGTCTGATTTTTATTTTGTAAACACAGCGCTGGAAGTGTTGGAGTAGGGGGTGTTCTGGGATAATACAGAGAGGACACAGAGGGTATTGCAATGATC